GGGTTCCCTGTCTGTTGTCTCTCTCTCTGTTGTCTCTGAGACAGCGACACATCTCTCCGCAACATTTCAGAATGTACGTGTCCTGCGTGCGAGCGTGTGCGTGTGTGTGTGTTTATGTTGTATTCAGCATTCAGTAATATTTGACTATATGGCGGGGTCCTTTAACCAACTGTTATGCTCGAAATGTAATGCAGGATCTGTTGAAGATGAATTTCATTTCCTTCTGTTATGTCCTCATTATAAGACATGTAGATAACTGTTTGTACCAACATATCATTATAACAATCCATTCCATGATAAATTTGTCTCATTAATGTCAACAACATATTCTGTTCTTAAAAAGAAAATATCATTGTTTCTCACAAGAAATTTACTATGTTAAGTAGCCTTGCATTGTATATCAATATATCTTGTAGATAACTAGGACTTTCTATATCAAGGTGCCTGTCCATCAATGTTTGTACAAGTTATAGATGTTGATGATGTTTAATCTGTATCATGGACGTATTTGTGGAAGCACACAAACAAATTCAATGTCTAAGACCTTATCAACTCGGAAAGACATGATCGATCTTATACTTAATAAAATATTCGCTGGGGCGGTTTGGTAGCCTAGTGGTTAAAATGTTTGCTCGTCACGCTGAAGACCCAGTTCTATTCCCCACATGGATACAATGTGTGGAGCCAATCTCTGCTGCCCCAAGCCGTGATATTGCTGGAATATTGCTTAAAACTAAACTCATTCACTCACTAATCATCCGCATCCTGACAACGGAAAGTTGGAACAATGTCACAATTGAGAACCAAGCACATTCACGTCTTGTGCCAAATATGGACGAGTGTGCATGTCATAATGCCATGGAACAAATGAGGGATAGAAGCGAACATAAAATCTATCTGCAGAAATGCAGCGTCAGGCAAAAATACTTCCAGTTTTAGGCAGCTGTTTTGAATGGCGGGTCCTGCTGGTAGGACAGGACAAGCTTACCCTCTTCACGAACACCTGGTGTCATCACTGATTTTCAGCGATCCATTCAGAGCATTTTCACAGATACCTTTCACTTTACATCAAACGGAATTTTACACTGAGGATGAGGTTAGTTAAGACGGGGTATTCTTTTCCGCTGACGTTCCACGTTTAGCTTAATTTAAACATAGAATTTGTGATTCAATGAATTGAATTAAATGGATTCAATAAGCCCCACTGCCTAATTGCTGTAGTAAAACCTGGGCCCCGTTTCACAAAGCGATCGTAGCGGTAAGGTGATCGTAACTCCAATATTTTAAATTAGACTTACGAGAGTCGTAGCGCTACGATCGCTGTGTGAAACGGGCCCCAGTGGTTGAAATTTGAAATTTTGTTCCTGGATTGTAAAACCTGTTATATACAATGGGTTAAATATGTCCATTCCCAACATTGTCACGTGTCTGGCTTGCGTTCATGTTGTATTAATTTTCAGCGGTTGATACGAGGCAGTTGGAGCTGTGTGTCACTTGACTAGCCTGTCTGTGTAATGGTGCAATGCTAGCATCCCCGTCATATTAAAACGGAACAACGTACATCTACGAAATCTAAGTCTTATTTGGCAAATTTGAATCCCACACGCTAAAGTCATTCAATTTTCCTCTTGTCTGAATTCTGATTTCATTCGGATGTGGAAAGGGTTTTGACGTTTGTATTTTTCTATGAGAATCATTCTGAGATATACGGGAACGTGCGCCAGATACGTGTATGTGGAAACCTGTTTAATGGCTGTAAGTGACCAATACACATACATGCAAGTATATTCCATAGATGTTACCATTGGCCATGATGTTCATACCCCAAATATATACACTCGAGTAACCTTGAGTCGTGGATATAAGGGAAGTGCGGCGGATTTAATATTTTAAATGCATGATTTCATTTTGTATACGCACTGATTATTTTATTCAATGATTCAGCAAATTGAAAATGCCTAATATTCCACTCGTGAATGAAACGTTTGTTTACGGAAGCCATTTGCAATCATCACCCATTCATGTGCCCACAAAAATGTGACGTCACCTTGTTCCGTGGTTTACGTAGTTGGTTACTTCATACCACTATGTACGACATCCCACTGCAGTCAGTATTGACACCAAGGAAAGCAGACAAAGGGAAGTGAGAAGGCTGGAGCTAACGGTATCTTTTTTACTAGACATTTTGTAAAAATAAAATTTGGCAATGGTGGTATTAGTGATCTGGGGCTATTTATCTCAATGCTGGACAATTACATTTAGTGTACTTGCGTGTAATGCTGAGATTCGGAACTTTTTTGTCAGCGAGGCGTGGCATTTTATGTTCATCAAAAGTACCGCTTTGTGACGTTGGTCACGACTTAATTTACGAGCTAGCATAATACATTCCGCGATCCACAAATCAAGGTTATCCATGAATTTAGGTTACGGTTCTGTATACCTAATATAGAGCAGGTGTGAGACAATCATTAACATCACTCTAGCAGAGACACATGCTGTGTGCTAACAGAGAACGATACAATTATCGCTCTTATGTAATCGCCGTGGTTAACTATAGTCTGTTTGCGGTAAAACGTTCCGGGGAATATCAATTTAATCAAAAAGTAAATCGAATAAAGTAAAATTAAGATTGCGAATCCTCATATTTTTACTTTGGTATGTATTACAAGGGGGTTTACACATTAAATGAAACACCGAAAACAAGTAGAGTTGGTCTAAGTAAACGCTCATCACGTACCGCACGTGCATCTGTGTACTCCGCTTACCCCCCTGTAATACAAACCAATAATAGCGATTTGAATGTATGATCGTATGTTAAACAACCTTTATCCTAAGGTGAGTAAAATTCTGAGATTTAGATGTTCAGTTGGCAAGGTAAAATTATGAGGATTCGCAATCTTAATTTCACTCTATTTGATTTACTTTTTTGTTTAAAGTGAAATTCATCGGTACGTTTTCACTGCAAATAGACCATAGTTTCCCAGTGGATAGGATACCCTTGGTACACATGTACCCATCAGACCAGATTGTCCAGTCTAGCAAGGTTACTATGTATACAGTGCCAGGCTCTCCACAACCCAAGACGTGAGTCACGCTTGGTACGCCAGTCCTCACGGAATAAAGGTTATTGTCAATCAGGTACTATTTCAGGACAGATATTAGAGAATAAATAACACAACCAAAATAGCATTTGCCATAAATATTCAAAGAAAACTGGAGTTATTATTTATAAAACATTTATTGTCCGTTTGTTCCGTACGTGACTATTTACAAGCTCGTCCATCATGTATAGTTTATATACTCCGATCACTCTAATCGATTCACATAATCACTAAATCGATACTTACGGGTAGGGATCCATTCTAACTCTCCCCTCAAGGAGAGAATGTCTGCATAATGATGCATGGTAGCTTTATTCAATATTTGGCACAAAAAGGTCGTGGCCTGGATACAGAACTTCGACATACGCAGGTGTTAATAATCAAAGATTGTTAGCTTAGCAGTTTCCGACAACCTTGACCTCCGTAGTACACTTCACATGTGTTCACGCTCGACGTGGTGTAGCTCAAGCACATGCACGTTTTGACGCTAGTGCTGTAACGCTTGTGATAGGAAGTTTCTGAAATGTGTATAGTGAAGGCGTCCCAGACACAGCAAAACTGTTCGAGAAGGAAATCAAACTCATGTAATAAACAACTGAATTAAACCGCCAGTATTTCTGTATTATCAAGATAGCGAATGTGTTTACATAGTTTTAAATGCACACAAAACGCAATGTGTCTAAGCATTGTTCCTTATGACCAGAATGAGGCTCGTAAATGCAGTTATTTTAAAACACGACGTCTAGCATTGATTCAAGGAATGAACAACGGATATGTCGAACATGGTATCCAGCCGAAGAGGTAGAAATCACACACAACTAACACCATTACTAGGACGACAGTTCTTATGTCTGTCGTAATTATGAGCAATATTTTTATAATATGAGTTGATGCAAATATTTTCTATGAAAACATAACATCAGGTTGTCATCCCATCTTTTAACCGTGTTCTCGCACAATGCGGGACGTTAGGAACTGTCCATTATCTGTTGTCATTAATGTCATTCAGGAATATTCGGTGTTATTCATTTTGCCTATATAGCCTACCCCTACTCTGTTGTGGGTATACAAGTGTTTATAGCTTCTACAAATCCCTTAGCGTTATGTTACATACCGACTGTGTTATAGTATGACCAGAAATTATTGCGAATTTTAGGAATATGTTTAATTGGATTTCTAGTATAAACAACCTTGACCAGCTATCAAGTGCTTGGTTTCATTCAAGAGAGACAAACTCCGTTAATTCTTTTTCATTAGTTTGTGAAGAGTTATCCCCCTTTGAAAATGTTTGGGGACTTATGAAGGAAAGTCTCAATAAGAAAAATCTGACAAATATTGCTGAAATGAAAGAAGAGGTGGTCCGATATTGGGACAGCATGGACCACGACTTTCTAACTTCTTTGATCAGTAGTATGCCCCGCCGCATTGAAGCCTGCACTGCTGCCCATGGTGACAAGACAAAATACTAACTGTTCACCTGTCTTTGAATCTGGAGTTATTTTCTGCTAATATTCACATTTAATACGTGAGTAATGAGTGAAAACAATTATATAAAAAATTACAATCTTATATTCTCAATAATTTCTGGTTGTACTGTATATACCAGCACTATCTCGTCCCAACTGTTCAGACATTTATCCTATCCCTTCTTTACATCAGATAGTCCACCCTATCCAAACAGCAACATCACAGTATACGCTATCCCTACTATGTAATATGACAGATAGATCCTATCCCAAATATGTCACATGACAGATACGTCCCTTCCCAGCTGCGTAATATCAAAGGTACATCCCAGTTAAACTGTGTAATATCACAGACACTTTCTTTCCCATTGCGTCATATAACAGGTATACCTTACCGAACTCTTTGTCCTGTCTTCTCTCGCGCCAACCACAGATGTGTTTATTATCACAGACATGTCACATCCTTGCTGTGATATATCAAATAAAATACCCTATTCTTACAGTAACACAGAAAGTACGTCATGTTACATCGCGTATGCCCAACGGTATGAACAATAGCATAAGAGCTTGACTTCTTGAAAGTCATTGTATTGTCACCAGTAATTACATCAGCATACAATATGACGTCAATATAGCGTCACAATTGAACAGTGATGACGCAGTGAAAGACTAGGAGTTGGTCAGTAATATCTTCAGGTGTGATATCTTTTCCTTCTCTGTCTCTCGGGTGGGTTCCTCGTCCAGAAGGGGAGATAGGCTGGTGGGTTGACGACGACGGATGACGACACGATTCCCGGGGCGGGGCTGTATGTCCATATCCTGAAACAGAGGACTCTTACTGTCAGTAACGTTACACCTGTATCTGTCAGTAACGTTACACCTGTATCTGTCAGTAACGTTACACCTGTATCTGTCATCTGTCAGTAACGGTCGGTACGTTACACCTATCTGTCGGTCTGTGTATCAGTCAACGTTACATCATATCTGTATCTGTCGGTAGTAACGTTACACCCTGTATCTGTCAGTAACGTTACATCATGTATCTGTCAGTAACGTTACACCTGTATCTGTCACGTTACATCAACATGTATCTGTCTGTCAGTAACGTTACATCTGTCTAACGTATCCTGTCTGTCAGTAACGTTACACCTGTATCTGTCAGTAACGTTTCACCTGTATCTGTCAGTAACGTAACGTTACATCACTGTATCTGTCAGTAACGTTACACCATATCTGTCAGTAACGTTGCATCATATCTGCCAGTCGTTACACCTGTATCTGTCACGTTACATCATATCTGTCAGTAACGTTACACCTGTATCTGTCAGTAACGTTACACATATCTCGTCAGTAACGTTACATCTGTATATGCTCAGTAACGTTTCACCTAACGTTACATCTGTATCTGTCAGTAACGTTACATGTATCTGTCAGTAACGTTGCATCATATCTGTCAGTAACGTTACACCTGTATCTGTCAGTAACGTTACATCATATCTGTATCATCATATCTCAGTAACGTTACATCAATGTCTCTCAGTAACGTTACACCTGTATCTGTCTGTCAGTAACGTAACGTTACACATCATATCTGTCAGTAACGTTACATCATGTATCTGTCAGTAACGTTACATCTGTCTGTTGCATCTGTCAGTAACGTTACATCATATCTGTCAGTAACGTTACATCATATCTGTCAGTAACGTTATCAACGTTACAGTAACGTTACATCTGTATCTGCCAGTAACGTTATCATATCTCTCAGTAACGTTACATCATATCTGTCAGTAACGTTACATCATGTATCTGTCAGTAACGTTACATCCTCATATCTGTCAGTAACGTTACACCTGTATCTGTCAGTATTACATCATATCTGTCAGTAACGTTACATCTGTATCTGTCAGTAACGTTACACCTGTATCTGTCAGTAACGTTACATCATATCTGTCAGTAACGTTACATCATATCTGTCAGTAACGTTACATCTGTATCTGTCAGTAACGTTACATCTGTATCTGTCAGTATTACATCATATCTGTCAGTAACGTTACACCATATCTGTATCTGTCAGTAACGTTACATCATATCTGTCAGTAACGTTACACCATATCTGTCTGTCAGTAACGTTACATCATATCTGTCGTTACATCATATCTGTCAGTAACGTTACACATATCTGTATTACACCTGCAGTAACGTTACATCTGTATCTGTCAGTAACGTTACATCATATCGTTACACTGTCTGTCAGTAACGTTACATCATATCTGTCAGTAACGTTACATCATATCAGTAACGTTACAGTAACGTTACACCTGTATCTGTCAGTAACGTTACATCTGTATCTGTCAGTAACGTTACATCATATCTGTCAGTAACGTTACACCTGTATCTGTCAGTAACGTTACACCTGTATCTGTCAGTAACGTTACATCATATCTGTCAGTAACGTTACACCTGTATCTGTCAGTAACGTTACATCATATCTGTCAGTAACGTTACATCAATATCTGTCAGTAACGTTACATCAATATCTGTCAATACCACTAACGTTACATCAATATCTTCAATGTACTTCCTACCTGCAGCCAGTAGTCCAGAGTCCAGAAACCCATTTTGAGAGGCCTCGTGTCCATGTTAATATTTAATGTTTTAATGTTACATCCGAAATAATAAAGCATTTGATATTGCATTGCAAGTTATTTCCTATAGGGTCAGTGTATTAGCTTAGTGGTCAAAGCGAAGGTCAGTGATGTTACAATGAATCCTACCTGTAGCGCAAGTCTTCTAAGTTGAGCAACTTTGGACCTGGATTTGGGGTTTTCTCTCTTTAACCAAAGTCTGATTCTCTCTTCTAAGTTTGTCAAAGCGGCGTCGTGTTCGTCCTGGTCTATTGTCACCCCCATAGACAGCGGCTCAGCATCATCGTCAACATAGTAGTCCATGTCGCCGCCGTAGTCGTCAGTGGAGTCCTGGCCCTGCTGATGGGAACTCTGAATACTCTTGAAACTTCTTGGTCCATCTCGGCCATGCCCATCCTCCTGATCCCGGGCGCTCTGAGCCGCCAACAGCATGCTCTGGGGTAGTTGAACACTATGAACATGCGCTGGTGGAATCTGATCCACCTTCCGATGTCTCTTCAATCTGAGTTTCTCTTTTGTCTTCTCCCGGACCCGTATCATATAGAACACACTTCCTGGCCCGAACATGTCTATTAATGGGCCTCGATGGTTTAGAAATTCTTTTTCAGCAGCAGAAACTGTAGTCATTTCGCGTCTGTCTTTTTCCACAGGGGGTGGGGGTTTATAGCGGCTGCGGATCCTGTTAATTAGGTAGCCGAGTAGAGGAATATCGTCTTTCTGAGTAAGGAGAGATATGCGTGTTTCTAGTTTGACGGCGAGCTCGTCTCTCATTAACTCTATTGTCCTCTGATGTCTCCTAACGAACAGCCTCTCGTAATGCTTCATCTCCAGAACCAGCACCTCCGTCCTCTCCTTGCATACTGCCGTGTTCATGTACGTCTTCAGATCCAACAGCATCTCAATGTCACCTGCGACAAAGGTGTGACATATCGATTTGTACCATGACACACTTGGCTATAGCAACATCAAATCGGCCTATAAAAGAGACTGCTGAAAGTTCACGGCTTTGAATTCAGAAAATACTGTATTGACTCGTTTACCCTTTGTTCCACAGAAACGACAGCAATGCGTTTTAATTTGTGCAGTGCTACACGACCGTCCACATCAACATATCACTGTCAACACTAGTACTACACCACCGTCTACACCAGTACTACACCACCGTCTACACCAGTACTACACTACCGTCAACACCAGTACTACACCACCGTCTACACCAGTACTACACTACCGTCTACACCAGTACTACACAACCGTCTACACCAGTACTACACTACCGTCTACACCAGTACTACACCACCGTCTACACCAGTACTACACCACCGTCTACACCAGTACTACACCACCGTCTACACCAGTACTACACCACCGTCTATCCCAGTACTACACTACCGTCTACACCAGTACTACACCACCGTCTATCCCAGTACTACACCACCGTCTACACCAGTACTACACCACCGTCTACACCAGTACTACACCACCGTCTACACACCAGTGCTACACTACCGTCTACACCAGTACTACACCACCGTCTATCCAGTACTACACTACCGTCTACACCAGTACTACACTACCGTCTACACCAGTACTACACCACCGTCTATCCCAGTACTACACCACCGTCTACACCAGTACTACACCACCGTCTACACCAGTACTACACCACCGTCTACACCAGTACTACACCACCGTCTACACCAGTACTACACCACCGTCTACACCAGTACTACACCACCGTCTACACCAGTACCACACCACCGTCTACACCAGTACTACACCACCGTCTACACCAGTACTACACCACTGTCTACACCAGTACTACGCCATCGTCTACACAAGTACTACACTACCGTATACACGAGTACTACACTACCGTCTACACGAGTACTACTCCACCGTCTACACCAGTACTACACCTCCGTATACACCAGTGCTACACCATCGTCTACACCAGTACTACACCAACGTCTACCCCAGTCCTACACCACCGTCTACCCCAGTACTACTCCACCGTCTACACCAGTACTACACCACCGTATACACCAGTGCTACACCATCGTCTACACAAGTACTACACCACCGTCTACACCAGTACTACTCCACCGTCTACACTAGTACTACACCACCGTATACACCAGTGCTACATTACCGTCTACACCAGTACTACTCCACCGTATACACTAGAACTACACTACCGTCTACCCCAGTACTACTCCACCGTCTACCCCAGTACTACACTACCGTCTACACCAGTATTACACTATCGTCTACCCCAGTACTACACCACCGTCTACCCCAGTACTACACTGCCGTCTACCCCAGTACTACTCCACCGTCTACACCAGTACTACACTACCGTCTACCCCAGTACTACTCCACCGTCTACCCCAGTACTACACCACCGTCTACCCCAGTACTACACCACCGGCTACTACACCACCGTCTACTACACCATCGTCTACAACACCACCGTCTACTCCAGTACTACACCACTTCCAACTCAGGTATTACTACATTTCTAGCCCTAGTACATGAATCCAAAAGTTCAAAAGCCGAGAACACTTTAACAAACTGTTGTAGTTTAGACCCCAATTGTCTGTATGAAATGTATGTCAAGAGACAGCCCTCAAAGCCACCCAATATTATTCAGACACACCAATGTGTGGAGGATTATAATTGTCTAGCGTAAATACTCAGTCTGGTAAGGTCATGTAAAAAATATAACGTCCACAAAACCATTTCACATGACTTGACGCAGAAACACATCCCACCACGCACATTAAAACAGCAGGAGATCGATAAGTCAGATACGCCCCCTTTACACAAACCTCCTCTTAGTAACCAACACTTCAATACCAGACTCGTTCGCAAATATTACAAACCTATGCAAACACAATGCGATTAATTTCCACAGATATATTGCCAAATGACTATCTACAGATGTTTAACTCCACCGTTTAAACCACGCAGCGAGGTGCGAAAAAGGGGACGTATTTGATTTTCGGTTTTATATGGCCGTAAATATCAGCCTTTTAATATCACACGGTCTTGTACGTCAACACTGTTGACAGTCTCAAGAGAAATAGGCAATAGCAATATTCCCCATTAAATGTACTGTTTGTGCAAGCTTTGTTTCTATGTGCTGACTGTCGGTGTAATCGGAGTTTACTGGTCAAGTCTCAGGCAGGTTCAAGGAGCTTGAATTAAGAAGATGAGTATCGGTTTAACGAAACTTTAAGCTAAGTCGATCAGTGTCAGTGTGACCTTGAAGAGCCCGTATATGATTAAACCCAATGAAATTCCGTATTTGTATCCAAACTCGTACACTCGTCAAATGAAACGGACAATCTGTACAATTGAACATATCCAACACTTAAAAATGTCCCATTCCCAAAGTGTTTACCCTATCATTTACGTTGTTGTGTCCTACGTGCTCATTTACTATTCTTCGAAGGTGATGCACCAATAAGGTATCTGTGATCAGTACTAAGTTAAATGCGATGTTAGTGCCAAGGCAGCACCTACCCACACTCTCGTTGATACCCAGGTAGCAGAGCTTCGTGCTTTTGAAGTTGTCCCTCTTCTTTATGTTGTTGCTATTGTGGTGTTCGGTGGGGGGCCTTGCTTTGTCCGTCTTTTTTAACAATCTGTGCACATAAATGGATTTGTTATACACTATTTATTGATGCAATCGTGACTATATACGTGCAATAGTTCGCTGTACGATACCTTCACTGAAACTGCTGGGCAAGGTTTGAGGTTCTCATATGGCATCATAAACGTCATACACTGCTATATGTACTGCAAATACACACACACACACACACACATATATATATACACACTCACACAGCCTCTACCCCCTTCGCGCCCAAACACCCTCATGTACCAACTCACGCACACAGACACTTACACACTTACTCGACACACACTCTCACTAACACACAGATATTTCATACATATAATCGTGTGTTCGAGTCCAGGAATCCTCCTGATTATGCTTTGTGGTTTGTCTGCACCACATTTAACTCTTTCTCCAATAAGTAAATGTCCTGCATCATAAGTAAATGTTCCAGCTGGCACTGTTCGTGAGTGAGTGAGTGAGTTCATTGCTTTTCGCAATATTCCAGCAATATCACGGCGCAAGACACCAGAAATGGGCTTCACACATTGCACCTGGGAATCGAACCAGGGTCTTCAGCGTGACGAGCGAAAGCCTTAACCACCAGGCTACCCCACCACCCCAGTAGAACTGTTAAGATGAGACAACATGTATACAGGCACCGTTTGGTTGTCAATTTATCTGAAAACGTTTGATAACGTGGTAACATTTGATTGTACATCGCCATGACGATTGTGGATAAAGAAAATGCTTACTTGGCAGTTTCTGACTGACTGGCAGCCAGGAACAACTTTCTGTACTGCTGTGGATGTTGCGAGGGGTCAATCTGGACTTCCACTTGACCACTGCAAGGAAATAAATTACAACATTCAGCACGAAGGGCGTTTACTGTGGTCTAGCACACATCGTGGCTGGGCCAGAAAATCCAGTGATTAAGATCATGACAGGGCTCCAGATACGGCCCATATCGGCGTATGTACGGATAGAACATATACACGATACGGTAGGAAAAATTTAGAAAACGTAGCAGATACGCACCACAGTAATGGTGTACGGTCTTAGAATCGTTTACAGACGTATTTATCTGAAAAAGTATTGTTTTATTGTTTATTGACCTGTTTACACAAGAGTAGCAATGTTGTGGTGCATATATGACACGAAACACAAGATTACTTATACTTCATTAAATTCCATTCAGTACTCTAAATGTACTCTTAAGTTTTTCCAGTACTCCTATATTGAAAAAATAAAGAGGACGTACTCCTGATGTTGAAACATTATCTAGAGCTCTGTCATGAGTCATACTCACGCAGCTGTGATACGCTGACATACAGTGAACCAGGTGAGGTGGTCTGGCCCCCTATGGCTTGCATACCCTCTACCCTTACCCTGAATCCCATGGGTCAAAAAATGAAGTTCTATTTGTAGTTTTGAAAGGTCATGTTTGATGCTCTGTGTTGCAGACAGGTTAACTAAGAACAGGCACACATATAAAGTACCCAGTCTTCGTACTGTTTCAAAGTATTTGATTCACGCAGATGCGGGAAGGCGCCTTTACCACCATCCCGCAGACTTTGTGTATTGTTGTGTAGCCGAACTGTTCTAGGGGTGGTAAATCTGGGTTGTTCATGATTGTTGATTGTCCGTGCCCTTACTTCAGGATGTTGTACACGTTCGCATTTTGCTCCTTCTCAACTGAGATAAGTTGTTCGTTTACGTTTCGTTTCCCTCTCATCTAAGAATGAAGAACCTACTCACCTTATATCCCCCTTTACATACGAATGAGGTTACGTGTTCATGTAGGTGTTCCCTCACCTGAGGATGAAGTACATATTCTCTGTGTCATCTCCCTGTCGCACCAGCGTAGCCTCATACGAGTATGTCTCCATGTACATAGCCATGGCCAGCTGTTTGCGGTACTTCGGGGGCCACGAGGAGAAGAGTTTGTTGCCGGCGATGAAGCGTTCCTTGTCCCTGAACTCCTTGGCCAGCACATCCCGGACTGACCGGTTGTATAGCTGTCTGTCCACCACCACCAAGTCCGTCCGCTCGTCCGCTATGACCGTGGCTGTTCTGATGCAGTCATCTGAGGCCAGGGCTACCTCGCCGAACGGGCTACCAGCACCTACGGAATTCCAGAAGCATGAGGGTGTCAGCAGTTTCTGGCGTGTGAGGCAGCATAAGGCAAGAGCATAAAACATTCATCCACTAGCGATATTCCAGACACGTGTGGATAATGCAGATATATGGACTTGTTTCCGGGCAAATGATTTGCCTTTGCGCGTGTTTGTAACCTCTACCGCTCTAGGGGCAGGATATGCTCATCACTTATGCATAAGCACAAACAAGCTTATGATATAGTCACGATTTATAATTTATGATATTTATGCTTTGTCGCTTCTCTTTATCATCAGACCCGTGAAGATCCGGGGTAGAATAGGTCTTCAGCAACCCATGTGTTTGCCATAAAAGGCGACTATGCTTGTCTTTAGAGGCGACTAACGGGATCGGGTGGTCAGGCTTGCTGACTTGGTTGACATATGTCATCGGTTCCCAATTGCGCAGATCGATGCTCTTGCTGTTGATCACTGGATTGTCTGGTCCAGACTCGATTATTTACAGACCGCCGCCATATAACTGGGATATTGCTGAGTGCGGCGTAAAACTAAACTCACTCACTCACTTTATTATCAATGTCTAAATACCTTTATTTAATACTATTGCGAAATTAGAAAAAGGAGAAATAACCTCGTTCATTAACATATTCAAAATACTAAGTAACAAACGATCATTATTGTTACTGATTAAGTTATATCGTTTGTGTCAAAGACCATGACCTTCAATATTCGGAAGTGGCTCTAAAACCTGGAATATTCGAGGATTCACAATTCCGTTTACCCCTGGTACCCTTCGCACTGAAGGCTTAGTCTTTCCGGGTCGCCTGAGCTCCCATCCTATAATTGTCTCCCTTATCTGTGTTAGGAACAGTTGGTGACGAGTTTGATTCCAACTTTCACCTCCGTTATGATCCTTGGTACTGATCGTCATATGAGCGAAATATTCTCAAGCACGACGTTAAACCCAATTTCACCTCATCTCACCTTGGTACTGGTATCACAGAACCAATGCTCGTGTATTTCACCAAGTTTGTAAACCCCCACCACGCGCGTAGCTTCCAAACAAAATTAAGCTGACATGCAAGGATATCACAAAAATACTTCCGGAACCGCCCACTCACCCAGATGTGTGACGAAGTATCCCAGCTTGCTCCTGTCCAGTTTGCCGTCCTTGCCCTTCCGGTAGATGATGTCCAGTTCCGACTCATCCTCACCGTCCTTGTCCTTGTTGAGGATGTAGATGGAGATCTGGCCGCCGAGGATGATGTAGAAACTGAAATCAGTTGCCAGGTAAACTACACGGGAAGATGAAAATGAAACTACGTCTGTTTCAAACCTTTCAGTTGATACAGTACAACTATGTATTACCGATATTTGTATGTGACCCTGTAGGATAGTATTTAGCCTATGACCTTATTCCTGGTGTTAGACGACCTAACGTACATCATCCACCTAGCCCATATTAGTGCTGGCATAGCACTTATCTTGTATCAATCTTTTACATATGCATGGTTCCCGTGAAGATTTGGGCTAGAATTGATCTTCAGCAGCCCACGCTTGTCGTAAGAGGCGACTACCGGGGTTTTATGCTTAGTTGGTTGATGCATATAACCTTATCCAAATTGCGTAGATCGATCGCTCAGGATGCGTATGTCAGTCACTGGATTATCAGGTCCAGATTCGATTATTTACAGAACTCCAGACATATAACTGGAATATTGCGGCGGCGTTACCAAACAAGCAAACAACTATATGTATGTGTGTCAAAGAAGTATGTAGACTGTCATGTACATGTACGCACGATATTAAGGTACTTCATTCATATAAATATTGCACGATTACATAAACCCAAAATAAAGAAGTGCATTTTTATAGTTCTTGGCGACGAAGAACCACTTTCTCGTGTGACGTGTATGTGGTCGCTTAGAAAAGCAAGAAAACTTTTCAGTCAGAGTTTTTAATCCTTGTGTTCGTGTAGGTACATAAAACGCCAAAACCTTGACCACACTGAACACAATCGACCCAGACCGACAGCGACAGTCCCTAGCATTCTACTCTACAGGTAACTGACCCCCTAATGCCGGAATCAGGGTGAAATGATCATTGATCATCTGGTGCTAACTGTTCAGATTTCCAAGAGACAGGAAGGCCGGTGGTTCGAATCCCTGTTACGGTATACCAGTAGACGTGAAAATACGGTACTTGTTGTTACCGTGCCCGATGGTCGACTCTAAGGAATACAACCATGACTTGTATACTGTCCGACTTGGGTATCCATCTTGAAATAACGTATGGTGTCTCAGTGGGAAAGCGACCGCCTCCGTGGTGTAGTGGTTAGAGCGTCCGCCCGGAGAGCGGAAGGTCGCGGGTTCGATCCCCGACCGCGTCATACCAAAAGACGTTAAAATATGGTACTTGTTGGTCCCTGCCTGGCGCTCAACATTAATGGTTACAACAAGGACTGGTCGGCTCGGAGTCAGTATAATGTGTCTGAGTGGGGTATTCATGTTTCACTGCGGCATGGTATCTCAGTGGGCTAGCACTATAAAACCAGCTTAAGTCTGGGCTAGTACAAGCAGCCGCACATACACATACACACGAATGCACGTCGTCATATCAGCGAAATATTCTCAAGCACGACGTTAAACCCAATTTCACCTCACCTCACCTCACCTCAGTGGGAAAGCAAGCACACACAAACACAGAGGGAGAGAGAGGAGGGGGGAGAGAGAGAGAGAGAAGAGAGAGCGGGAGGGAGGGAGAGAGAGAGCGGAGAGGGAGATAGGGAGGGAGGAAGGAAGGGAGGAAGGCAGGCTCTATAAAAATCATCTTGAATGCAAAGACCTTAAACCCTACTTGACCTCATATGACCACCCACTAAGATGTGATCGGAGATAATGTGATCACACGTACGCTTTGAATACCTCTCGTTGTGTGGTACTAGTCTATCTTGCCGTTATTTGATAATATTAACATCGGCGGGTGCTTCAAGTCCACAGGTAAATGTTAATAACTACCTGGTTATGGATACGCTCAACAATACCGATGTTCTTGCTCTTTCTCTTTGAAGAGTTAGTGAGTGGGTGAGTTTAGTTTTATGCCGAATTCAGCAATATTCCAGCAACATCACGGCTGGGTTGACCAGAAAATGGGCTTCACACAATGTACCCATGTGGGAATCGAACCTGGGTCTTCGGCGTTACTCTTTGAAGATTAATCACGCTTGAGATTCAGGTATCAGGCGAAAATGGGACAAGACGTTACAGTCCTCCCCTGCAGAGTTGATATCTTACCACTCCCCCTTGTCCCCTTGTTTGATGATGACGTCATCTCGGACCTTGTTGACGAACTGGCAGTTTCTGACGATGTCCATCACGATATCTGAAACATGGTCAATATAACCTCAGTCCGTATTCCATGTAGTTATGGCATTGGTCCACATCACAATCACTGGGAGGTAACTCCAGGAGACGGACTGACTGACTGAGTATGGTTTTACGCCGCTTCTAGCAATATTCCAGCAACATCACGGCGGGGAACACCAGAAATGGGCTTCACACATTGTGCCCAAGTGGGGATTCGAACCCGGGTCTTCGGCGTGACGAGCCAACGCTTTAACCATTAGGCTACCCCACCGCCCCTCCAGGAAACGGACAAGGAGTGAACGGTGACTCTGAAGGCACACCAAGCCCAATTCTCCCAGCAACCCTACAAGGAGTTCTTGTATGTGAAACATTTATCACAATTTGAAAACAAACGGTTACGATGTTTGTCGTGAGGTCAACAGGAGACGAAAACTGGTATATTTTTAACTTTTTGTGTATCTATAATATTGTGATACAATGTGTAAAACGCTTGATTCATGTGGCAAATTTACAAGACGTTTCAGTCCTACAAAAATTGACTGGAAATTCTAATTATTTGACAGACTGGCTGAACAATATGACAACAAATTCCAAAACATTTCCATGTTTAATATTATCAACCAGTGACTGAAAATTAAGATTATAAGTAAAATGTTATTGTGGCTATTTATCGTTATTGTGTACATTACATTGCATCGTTTCGCTGCAAGAATCATGAATTCCACTGATACAGAACCCGCATGTTGCCATGACGACAGTACGTGGAAAGCGGGTACAGTGAAGAGTATTCAGACGTCACTGACCCATATAACTCCACTATGTTACATGTAAGCTAAGGTAACGGTACACCACCTGTATTGTGCTGCCCAACGCTAAGCCGGTCAACAGCACCATTGCTACAATATCAACACCATTCGCGGTTTCATGCTTTAGCTTTATTAAATGTGACGAAGGTGTTCTTAGTTAGAAAGAGGTTCATTGGTGTTCGTGTAATACATGATCTGCACTAGGACGGGTTAAAGACTCATACTATTGGCGTTGTTCCCGAGGCCAGTTCCGATTGTGTCATTTTCCATACCTATCTCGGTTTTATGTGTTATTGCCTACGGTGCCGTGGGTTAGCTTACTGGTTACAGTGTTTGGTCTCCAAGATGAAGGTATGGGTTCAATTCCGTAGGAATGTACAATTTGTGAAACCCTATATAACGTTTAGTGAGGTGCGGTGAAATTGGGTTTAACGTCGTGCTTGAGAATATTTCGCTCATATTACGACGTGCATGCGTGTGTATGTGTATGTGCGGCTGCTTGTACTAGCCCAGACTTAAGCTGGTTTTATAGTGCTAGCCCACTGAGATACTATGCCGCAGTGAAGCATGAATACCCCACTCAGACATGACAAGGATGGATACAGCAGACCTTCAGCTGCTTCACATAATCTTCTCAATTTTGGAGGTAAAGCGTGAAATAACACCTGCATATTCCTTTACAGGCACTTACACCCTTTTCATTAATATTATGCGAATCTTGGATTCCAACACACGTTCAGGAGACACATGTACAGGAGCTTTATATAATCCTATTGAGAACTGACTATTGCAATGTAGCCAGGAAGTCACTATATTGTAATCCTATCGGAAGCATGAGCGTGAGCGTATTGGTTGAAAGTCGCCTGGTCCATCCTTCAGCTATATCACAGACAATCTGCTGGATGTGAGAGGAAAGTCCAGATTAATCAGGTCTTAGTTTACAAAGTGAAACCAAAACAACACGGGCATGGGTTATGACAAACCTATCAACATAAACAGGGTGAATCCACAAATCGAACCCACGATCATTCGATGATACGATCGAAGTTTTTCTAGCACGCCTGAAGGGCACAATAGCTTACAATGGATTATGCATGACTGTGCCAACTGAGATTTGTACAAGGAACTAATGCTTCTGTGATAACGTATGTTACAAAAGCCCACCTGTGTCAAAGGTAGTGTTGTGTTTACATTACGGTGTTTAACCTACACGGTTGGGCAGCCATTTGGAATATACAATTGTAACTAAACCCCAACATAAAAAGAAATGTAATAGCCATTATTGATATTCCGTTACGAAAATACCAATCGTAACGTCGGGCTTCACATGTCGTTCATAGTTCGCCTCATTCAGCCATTGTACTACGCACACCTCACAAACCATAAAACCGTTACATATCCTGATTCTCGGGTCAGAAGAATGTGACAGCCATGTTTTGTACAAACACAAGCAAAACGCAACACATGACCGAGAATATTTGACACCTGCCAGTTAATACTGCTGTGTGAGCGCTATTGCATTCTTGGTTCCGTTCAACAGAGCGAGCGTAGCGCTACGACTGTCTTAAGTCTATGTTAAAGTATGCGAGTTACGATCACCTTAGCGCTACGATAGCTTTGAGGAACGGGACCTTGGTTCCGTTCAACAGAGCGAGCGTAGACTTACGACTACTGAGTTACGACTGTCGTAAATCCAATACGCTAACGTAGACTTACAATAGTCGTAGCGCGAAGAACGATTTGCGGAACGAACTCAAGGCATCGTACCGCTTTGCAGTCTTAACATTACGAATATCGTAAGGCTACTGCTATGCCATGGTTAGTGAGAGAGTTAGGTTTAACCCTGGCATCCTGATGGGAGGGATGACAAATATGATGAGGGTCTCACAAGAGTTGCATTGAACGTACAAACCTAGAAAACTGTTATAACATCGTATTGAAGACAGTACACGATTTTACGTCCTCACAGAACGCAGTTCTGACAAAGTAAGTGTTGCAATCTTTTCTGACTGGGTGACCGTCGTCACTGCAACGATGAGATACAAACACGTAAGATCGCTGTATGATACGTCTCGCTGAGTGTGTATCGCGTGACGCATCAAGCGTGTGTACGTCTTTACAGCATGGCAGAAAGTTCCGTGCCGTGAAACATGTTGAAAGACGTGTATATTGGAAGTACACCACGTGGAAATTAAGGTGACGAGAACCATCAGGCCGTCGGTTGAAGTGAATGTAAACCATTGGCAATCCGTTTGATCTGGATGTGTAATGTCGTGATTTGATGTCGTCAATACGGTGGACATTTTCTTTATCGCCTACAATGGATATTGAGGGAGAGCTATCAATCACGGCTGTACACTATTTAGAATCGCCTGTGACAGGTTCACAGAGAAAGGCAGTTTATGGCAAGACATATTGATCCAGTTTGTCAATGTAATATCTAATAATCCAATATCTCAATAACTCCATACGTGCTTCGCTGAATCCTTATATTATGTGTAGCTAGGGGTATGTGTGCAAACAGTGGTACTGTTATCGCCATGTAAGCTTGACTATTACGGGACATCGGGAATGTACCATCTTTTGGATGGGATTATATCAATGGTCTGTCTTAAAGGGCCACTGATGGAGAGCGATTAATGTTTCCAGCCAACAGTCTAATTACGAAACCTAGCTGCAAACTGGTCAGCCCCTGCTCCCTCGACCGTGACGGACACGGGGACGTGGCTACTGTCCACCTTGGCAGAATTTCTTCAACCTAATCAGTGGGACATTAGGATGGGTGGATGCCCATCAGATGCCGTTATTTGAAAATATCCCCGGTAGTTCTTGTTTGATTGTAATAAAGTATCCCAGCAGTGTAGGCATATTCAGATTTACAAATGTTTGGATGGTATAGTGACTGATCCAATTTGATCCTATTTCTGTGTTTTTTACCTCGATATTTAATCATGTAAAAATATGATGTCTATTACGTATGCTATGATATCAAAAACACACATTTGATATATTTGAATCCATAAACTAAACAACCCCACTTTGCTATTGCTAAAAAAAATCTGAAATTGTACTTAGGTACATATGTATATACAGTTTCTTAATAAGTACACAGCAAATGTTTATATCTATTTCTTATGTAACAATGAAATTCGATCCGTTTGTATCGTCAAAACAGTGTCGGCCCATAAGGGTTTTTTCAGACAATCAAACTTCCATGCAATACAGCGATTACTACTCTCTTGCTGTAACCCTTGTTTGGCGGTAAATCTACACATGTTATTTGTCATCATTCACTTGATGGTCAGTTAATGAATTTATAACAGGTATAATTAGTGATAACACCACTCAGATTACCCGACAAAGGTTCCCGTTTGGCATTTCTTGTGTCTGAAGTAAATACTCATCATTATAAATTTAGGTCTGATGTGGCAAATGTATTACATCTTATGTAATATGCGCAGGGAAGTGCAGCAAGAGGAATTATCAGCTGAGTTTCAAAACAAACATCGATCAAAGGATTAACCGATAACACGCTGATTGATTAATTGCTTTTATTTTGCACAGCGGATTTGTCAAAAGGTAGTGTTTATGTATGTAGATTCACTAATCTATACTGAATACACCCTGTCGTAAAGTTTCTTTGTAAAACCAACGTCCTTCCTTCAAAGGATTAACCGCCAAAACCTTGACTGGTAGCTCATTATTGGCTAACTAATGGCGGACATCATGCAATTACTTGCCAGGTGTGCTATCTTTGGTGACCAATGGGATACAACAATGTGAAAAATCTGAAACGATAGATCACTTTTTCGCATATAAGACCGTTAAAAGACACATGACACGGAACAGGATTCTTTGTCAGCTGCAGATGAATGGCATCTCATTACCTTATGTTGATACTGATGGATACATTCCCCTAACAAGGTAATAGCCTGATGTTGTTGCTAAAACTTTAGTCTGTTTTAATTTAAATATTTGCATTTTGTTTTAATCTATTTGTTATGGCATTCAACAGAATAATTTTTTTGCCGTGAAAGGTAATGAGACAGACAACATACACTAGATCTCACTTAGGGCGTATGTGTGAAATATGATACACGTCTAGATATTACAGTCATGTTATAAATTCACTAAGTATAAGCAGATCGTGTGCATTTTATTAAGTTTCAAAATGCATACAAAAATGATAATAAACTAATTAGGATTATAA